TAAAGTTGGTGAGCAAAGTCAGTAAACTTACGTCGAAGGTCAGAAATGCTGTGTGGGAATTTGAAAAGAATGCTGCGCACAAAGTCGATATATTTTAGCGCAAAGTAATTTTCAAAACAGTCAGTACAATAACAAGTACATAATCCTTGCTCGATATGCCCCAGACCCTGACGGTTGCAGAGTGGACGACTACCTGCGGTGTCAATGAAAGAAGATATCATGTACGCGCTTGCATATATTACTAGTACCATACAACTACGGTAATGAAGCATATTAGCATATTCATAGCAGAACCTCTGACAACATCTGCTCATATAACCATTCAGAATATAATTAAAGCAGGTGAGTCGTTACCTGCGCATGCGTCAGATGGCCATATCGTGCCTTTGCGTTTTAGCGTGTGCTGTCATCGTCGCTTGGGAAGGCTTGGAACCTCCCGCTTTAAATTACATATGACTTCAGATCTCGCGGCAGATCTCGCGGCCTCGTGCAACATTTTTTGCCGCCGTACCACGCATGTATTGAATTGGTTAGTGTGTATTCTTGAGCTTCCGTGAGTAGGTGACGTAACCAGGTTATGGTATGCTACATGTATATGTGATATGCTCAAATTGGCATCTATGTTCGTTTACTCACAAACACGGGTTAGTCGAAAAATATCCAATTCTCGTGGGCGGAGCTACGTCACAAGTTGTCCCATGTTGCTAAGACGCGCACCACTCACAGTCACAATCAAGGAAATACTCGCTGTTGCGGCACTTGATTTACCCAGAACTCTGTGCGAATCCCCCATGATTTTGGATGCTGTCCATTTTCGTTCAAGAAATCGTCGGATATCACCAGAAAACGCGGTATTTGTGCAGTTTTGAATAAAAACAAGTTAGCGATTATGAACAACGGTTATTAACGTAACACCCGATCCCCTCTGAACTTGTTGTTTCGCATTTTAAGGTAAGAAATCAACATTTGAAACCGACGAGGTGTCGATTTACTAGATGCCATGTTTCACAACTTGTTTAACTTGCGGAAGATTAAAACAATAATTAGTATTTATTAATTTTCAGCCCCAAAGTGACTGTGACACCATTGTACCATGCATTTCTATGGGCTTTGCGCGATCTGGTGTGGAACGTCGGTCGAAGAGCCGGTGAAAATAGCTCAAGTCGAGAAAACAGCACAAAGTCAACTTTGAAGTAATCCTGAGCAACCAAATTTATATATGTTGTTACGCTGTTCAGGGGAGTCTCAACAACCAAATCCCAATCCCAAAGTATCGTTTTCTGGGAGTTTTCGGCCTTTGTTTTCACTGTGATGGATGTCCGGCCCTGAGAATTCGCGGCAACTGTGATGTCAGATAAATCTGTGGTTACTTCGAGTTAGTCGCGCTCGTTGTTTATATACCAAGTCATAACATCGTTTTGTCACAGTGGTGGCCAAAATCCGCTAATATTGTCCACTTTTGCACGATTGTACTCAAGCTGAGTTGGTATTTCAAAAAAGTTCAAACGAGGTATTATCGATGTGTTGATATCATAACATATATAATAA